TTGGCCCATGTCACAGGAAGAACACCAAGGCTCAGAGATGTGATGTGCCCATGATCACACAGCTCATTCAGAGTCAGGTCAGGACTTAGCCAGTGCTCTTGCCTCTGGAGTACACGTTCTGTCTTGGAGAAGCCCTTCCCGGGGCTCCTGTCTGAGGAGTCGTTCCTGAAGCCCTCCCTTAGGTCTTCCCATTGACTGTCCTGTGGGAAGGACCAGTCTATGACACTATCCCAGTTACTGTGTGCGTTTTTTCACAGCTTAATGGCCTGGCCAAAGAGGGCTGGGATGTGTAGGACATCGGAGAGCTGCATGTTTCCTAGAGTTGCTGCACAGAATGCCGTATGTCTTCTGGGAGATGACTGTGAAGAAGGATTTATTGGATCACAGGAATATCAGTGTTAACATAGGAAATCCCATGTTCCCATTACAATGGCTCTGCATAATAAAACGAGAAGGATGCTTCATAATAGTCATTTCCACTCAGGAAATCACTTTAATTATAGTGCTGTGAGGTCATTCTCCCCAGTGCAGCTGCCAGATGCCTCTTTCTTATAAGAAACCAGCTGCTGGTGTCAGGAGTCATAGTGGGTAAGGAGAAAACAGACTCCTTGCTAGGGGTTCACAGTAGGAAGCAGGTAGGCCTAGATAGGTGTGAAAGTGGGGAGGAAGGTAAAACAAGGCATCGAGTCAGCAAAGGGACCCAGTGAACACACCAGGAGTCAGGGCCTGGGGAGCCAGGAACCAGGTAGGGTGGAGGGTCCAGCATTCACAGTGCTTCTCAGTAGTAAGACCTGAAGCAGGACCATAGCAACTTCAAGTGGGTGCTGGACTCTATTATACAGTGTAAACAAGTGCAGCCTCCAATTTAGTATCTAGCACCTAGTAGGTACTCAATAAATGTTCACTGAATGCATAAGTAAATGCATGCATATATAAATAAATGGATTTAGTGGTGGGCTTCTAGACTTTTCTAATCACCAAGTACCTCAAAGTTCAAAAAGAAAGAATAACACCTTGCTTAAGTAGGCATAGATGGTTATTGAAGGTCAAATATCCAGAACTGCCCTCAGAAATTTTCCAGCATGTCTTTTGACAGTTTGTCCCACAGAAACAGGGTTAGAAGCAACTGTTATTTCCTGTTCCTTTAAAACAATTAATAATTGCCTACTAGGTGCCAGGTGCTGGTCTCAACATACAATGCATTTTAACTCAGTCCTTGCAACAGTTGCCAGAACCTTGCTTGGAGCTCCTCCATTCTAAAACCATGAAAGCCCCAGAAAACAGGGCAGAGCTGGTTGCTCTATGTACACTATACAGGGGGAAAAAGATGAGGCCATTAGCTGTGCTTGGGACAGGTTGTGTGGTTTGTGTTTTTCAATGGCCTGATGGCTGCTCCTCACCCTACCCTGCTCCCATTCCCTCCTGGGGAGTGAGGACTGCAGCGAATCTGCAGGAGGAGCAGGACTTGGCCACACAAAGGACTGAAGTGGGAGAGGGTAATGCAGAGGATGTCAAGGTGCTGGTTATGTGTGGGTGGGGGAGCAGTCACCCCTCACTTCTGCTGGGACTCCAGAGGGATGGGGAAGTACAGTGTGAGGTGACTGAGGAGGGGTCAGATCACTCAGGGCCTTGAGAGTGATAGAGCAGCAGTCTCATGGGGCAGGGCTGTTTTGAGTTTGGGCATTTACTTTGAAGCTGCAGAACAAGCCTGTGTCTTTTCTTAGAATGCAGGTTTCTTTGGAGGCCTTGGGGAGGGACTGCTGAAGAATATAGAAAGTCTGAAACTGCTCCCAAGTCCCACCTTTATAGAACAATTTCCTAAACTTCCTACTGCCTTCAGGGGAACACTTGTGTCTGCATAATGTTAATAATACCACCTAAGAAGAAAAATGCTCAGCAGTGCAATGAGTTGGAGAATGCCAGGGTACACAGAGTCCAACAGGTGTCTTTGGTTACTTGCTGCTGCTGCTTTTTCTTTCTTTTTAAATTGTAGATGTTTCCTAGTTATTAATAAGCTGCTGAGAAGTGTGGATCTCAAGAAGGTCACAGAGCACACAGCACCTCCCAAACTTGGTTGTTCTCGTGGCACAGTTTGCAGTCACAACCATGACCCGTGGGGATCCACTTGCTCACGGTTCAAAGCAAGGCAAAGGCAGGCTCAAGTTTCCTTGAGGATGGAGATTTGGGGGCATGGACCCAGGGCAGAAAATAATGTGGGATGAGGGAGATGGTGGAGAAGTCTAAGTAGCCTGGTCAGTCTACCCTCATCCCACCTCCACCCTCAACCTCCCTCACCAAAGCTGCTGCCTCTCCAGCCCCTGAGTTCCTCTGAGTCAATAGCCCTGAGGAAGGCTGATAAATATATACACAGATATGTATGATGTACATATGTATATATATTCACCCAGGGCTAGACTCCTCCATTTCACATTCAAAACCACCTCCTAAGGAGAGAAAAAATGGCCACAGCCACCCCTGCCCAAGTCCTTAGGTCAGTTCTCCCTGGATATTTTCACCAAGGTGCCCCACCCTGGCTGCTTGAAGGGCTCTGTGATGACAGCTCACCTGCAGTGATAGAAGTGTACATTGTGGTGGGGCTGTGCGATGAGAGCTCACCGTCAATGGTGATAATGTCCATTGTGGTGGAGGCGGAGGTCACCCCTGGATAAGGCCCTGTGAACAGAGGACAAGAATCTGAGGTCAGACAGGAGAACTCTCCATGCCTAGCAGCACCTTGGCCCAAGCTGCATCCTTTGTTCAGGTGTGAGCAGCTCTGTGAATGGGCCCAAGTGGACAGGAGCAGTGTGGTGCAACCAATGACTCTTAGCAGGGGTGCACAGCCCAGGAACCAGGTTCTGGTTGGTCACTGACTGGGATGGAACTGTTTGAACCTGAACCAGCAGGTCACTCCAGGCCCATTTGAGTTCTCTGCTGTATGCCTGCACTGAGGGTGGTGCCTCCACCTGGTAGATGCTCAACAGTTATCTGTGGTGTGTATGAAGGCAGGGACTCTTGTTGTGTTTGTGAAAGAACGTTTGTGGAGTATCTGATGCTTACACCAGCTGTCTCAGTCAATTTTGTGATGCTATATCTGAATTCTTGGGTAATTTATAA